CACTGGTGTTCTTTAATTCCTGACAGACATTACTCCTAGGGACCAAGAACAAAGAATTGAAATGCTCAGGAATTCCCTGAAATATCTCAGGAATTTCCCAAACTGGAAGTTCTATTTTAAAGATTGTCAACCCACGGAGGACCTTATTGGACAACAGCAGTCGGTAAAGCAGCAATGAGAACTCTCAGCAAGGTGAACAGACCGCATGCAGAGGACCACACGTCAAAATGCCAACTTAAGGACTTATTTAGGGAATTGGGGGGAGAGAGGTGAGCACATCCTGGCCCACCAATCCTTGACAACGATATTCCCGCTCAGAGCAGCCATATGGCCGGCCCCACTAAGAGACATGACATTACTCACTGACCCATAGCCCTACAGGGGACAACACTGGAGACACAGTGTGGGAATTGCACCCTATCTGATCCCACCACACCAAGGCAAAACATTAAGTGTGTTCAACAGAGTAGGAAGGGGAGAGTAGCAAGGGGAACAGAGCAACGAAGTCCCCAGGGAATACCAAAAATAGACTTTGGGGCCAGGGCTTTGCACCCCATCAGACTCCACCGGAAAACACTCCTAAAGGCCAACAAACTTTTGGCCTTTACATAAAGCCTAACTACAAGCTTTTCTTTTGTCATTGGCTTTTTATTGATGTTGTTGTTGTGTTTTCTTTTGTTGCTTGGTTTTGCGCATGTTATTATCTCTGCAGGTCTGTCTAAATAAGACAGGCTGGATGAACAATCTGGAGGAGAAAACAACAGGACCGAGAGTTTCAGGGGGGCATGGAAGAGGTTAGGTGGGGGGAAAGGAAGTGGTGTTAACAAACCCAGGGACAAGGGAACAAGTGATCCAAATCGGTGGTGAGGAGGGTGTAGGAGGCCTGGTAGGGTGTGATCAAGGGTAATGTAACCAAGAGGAATTACTGAAACCCAAATGAAGGCTGAGCATGATAGTGAGATAGGAGGAAAGTAAAAGGAAATAGAGGAAAGAGCTAGGAGACAAAGGGCATTTACAGAGGTCTAAATCAAGGCATGTACATATGTAAAAATATATTTATATAACAATGGGGAAATAGATTTATGTGCATATATATATAGGTTCAGTATTAAGGTAGCAGATGGACACTGGGCCTCCACTCAAGTACTCCCTAAATGCAAGAATGCTTTGTTCTATTAAACAGGCACTGCATGATGCTCACCTTCCCGACACGATCACTGAAGACAAAGTGGGTGCATAAGCAAATGTGGTGAAGAAAGCTGATGGAGCCCGGCTATCAAAAGATAGAGCATCTAGGGTCTTAAAGACGTGGAAGGTAAACAAGCAGCCATCTAGCTCAGAAGCAACAAAGCCCACATGGAAGAAGCACACCAGCCTGTGCGATCACGAGATGTCGAAGGCATGAGGTATCAGGCATCATCAGAACAAAAAAATCATATCATTGTGAATGAGGGGGGCCAGTGTGGAGTGGAGATCCAAAGCCCATCTATAGGCAATTGGACATCCCCTTACGGAAGGGTCGCAGGGAAGAGATGAGCCAGTGAGGGTGCAGTGCAGCAACAAGAGACATACAACTTTCCTCTAATTCCTAAATACTTCCCCCCAGCCCCACCCCCCACTATCATGATCCCAATTTTACCTTACAAATCTGGCTAGACTAGAGGATGTACACTGGTACAGGTAGGAACTGGAAACACAGGGAATCCAGGGCAGATGATCCCTTCAGGACCAGTGGGGAAAGTGGTGATACTGGGAGGGTGGATGGAGGTGGGGTGGAAAGGAGAAATCGATTACAAGGATCTACATGTGACCTCCTCCCTGGAGGATGGTCAAAAGAAAAATGGGTGAAGGGCGACGTCGGACAGTACAAGGTATGACAAAATACTAATTTATAAATTATCAAGGGTTCATGAGGGATGGGGGAGCAAGGAGGGAAGGGTAAAAAATGAGGAGCTGATGCCAGGGGCTTAAGTGGAGAGCAAATATTTTGAGAATGATGAGGTTAACGAATGTACAAATGTGTTTTATGCAACTGATGCATGTATGGATCTGATAAGAGTTCTATGAGCCCCCAATAAAATGATTTTTTTAAAAAGAGGACTTATTTTGCTTCCCAAGTTTGTTATTTTCTGGGACATCACTCCTAAGATTTGTATAAAATATACTATGGATTCTACATGAATTTATAAGTTCAGTAATATTTACTTAGTAGTAGGCAGGACAATAAACATGCAGTTAATTGATAGAGTTTTTGTAACATGCTTTAAACGCCTTCACCAACCCCCTACAAAAGTCAGAAAAGGTGAGTTGTCAGGCATACATTCCTCTGACATAGGCAGCCAGCAAAGGCATTTACAGCAGGCGGGCCATGGTTCCTCCTTTTTGTGAGGGCCCTGTGCTACACTTCAGCAGGAACTGAACTCAGAACAGTCTCCAGGTTTAGAAAGAGTCAGAAAGGAATTGGCCTGCCGACAGGAATTCTGCATGTGTGTCAAACTTTTCAGAATCAGGCCATTAAACCGGTAACACAGATGGTTTCATATGGTCTGTTTGAAAGGAAAAAGCCTGTTGATCACCATCATGTCCAAGGTAAAAACTCCCTTTTATGGATGCTCAAGAATAGTGAAGAGACCTCTGTCGCATGAAGAATGCCGTCTTTTGAAGTTTCTTCAGACAACCCTTCCCTCAGAAGAGGGAGCGAAACCCATGGTGCTCTGACCCAGAACCACTGCGCGGTGTGTTGTTCACAGAGCAACTCGCTGCACCAAGACATGGACACAGAACCAGCCATACTACTTTCCTCCAAGGCAGTCAGTGGGAATGCTAGTGAGCAAAGCCCATTCTCTCAAAAACAGAGCAGGATAAAATGCAGAACAGATTTCAAACTTCCACAACATCCAGGAAATTTCTGGAGCTAGATGAATCCCTAACACTACTGCCTATAGATAATCTTTAAATCTTAAAAAGAATTCCTGACGTCTTCTTAAAGAAGTTTAGATTTACTAGTCTGGAATGTCTGCCTTGAGCAGTGTGCTCTTCTGAGAGCTATCTAGATGGAGCCAAACTGACAATAGCAACTGGAAGGATTAGACAGGACACAGGGGGGTGAGGGGTGAGGGGTGAGGTGTGTGTGTGGGTGGGTAGGTGTTTGTCAGTGAGTTTATGTTAATGGAAAGGAACTACTCAGAAAAGGAGGGTGAGAATGGCTGCCCAACTCTAAGAAGGCAATCACTATCAGGTAGAATTGAACACGTAGAAATCACTGAATTAGTGCATGGTGTGCTGTATACATTCTCAACAACAAAAGGATTATTTTAAAACACAAAGCAGATTCTAAGAGGTTTTTGCCTACTGTACTGCCTTCCCTCAGCCTCACCAGTTGGTTTTCTCATTGCCCTTTAAAAATTCTATTTAAACACAAATCAGTTTCAAGGGTGCACTTCTGTTGTCTTATTGATAGGCATTTTTACAGTAACTTTTCTTGCTGAATTCTAGGAGCTTCATATCACAAGTCTTTATTAAAGATAAAATGTGCACCTAGTTAATAACGACGACTCTTAGATATGACTCCTGAAGCACAAACAGGGAAAGACAAATGGGTAAATTGGCCATCAAAACTAAAATCTTGTTATCTATCAAAGGGCTTTATCAACAAACTGAAAAGACAATGTACAGATTAGGAGAAAATTTGGGAAAACTCCTTATCTGATGAGGGTTGGTACACAAATAGAAGAGGCACCAACTATATGGTAGGTCAAAAACAAGGTCAAGCATATTAGAAGCATTTCAAAACATTCTACCTGGGGTGGGGCGTGTGTGTGGTGGGTGGAGAGCCTGTAATTCTAGCCTATGCTGTAGAACTTTAAGGTGCAATTTATAACCACATTTTATAAACACGTGGAAAGCAAGCAGCTAACCCCCACAGGTCTTTTCTATAAAGACCATCAATAATAATATTTCTTTCCTAAGGTTTTCACCAACAACACCAGTTTAAGAAGCCTTCCCACTTAATGACTTCTGCTAAAACAATACTGCCCACTACTAGAACACCAACGAGGAGAACAAAGCAAAACGCTGAGTGTTCCTTAGCTGAGAAACCTGAAAATGGTACCACCCACACAGCCTGTAAGGGGTAGCCAGAAGTAGTTGCTAGCACCTGTGTAAATGCTTTGAGCTACCAATTCATCCATTATTGACACTCAAGTGAGTGCAGAGTTGGAAGGTGGCACAGTTGCACTGAGAAACAAAGAAAAAAAGAAATGCCAAGTTATCAGACAGTTCTCTGTGCAAAGGACCCAAAAAAAACAATGTATGTATGTAGCACCCTTTGAAGCACCTTTTGCTACCCATTACAAAATATTTCCAGTGCTTTTACATAAAGAATGAACTTCAAAGACTGTGCAGGAGAAATATCCAAAGTGTGGGCGAGAGCTTGGCAAAAAAAGAAAAGAAAAGTGTAACCGAGGGGGACTGACAGATTGCTGAGGTCAGTTGTCATACAGGATTGTGCTTCTATGAAGAGAGGAAAACAACAATCTACAGACATTAATCAAGACCAACTGTAATAAACAAAGTATTAAAATTGAATATCCTAATTAGCTGTCTCGAGGTCCCTTATTCCCCATAGGGCTATGAGCTGATCTAATTCATCTTTGCACATCGAGGGGATAGGTAATGCCTGGCATGATGCAGGTAACTGAATACATTTACTCATGAACAGTGATTTACCTGCAGATTTCCCCCTACCAATCCCTCTTCTAAGGGAGGCTGTGATCAACTCGGCCTTTCTCAATATTTAGTGACTTAACAGAACTCACACAATGGCACAGGGAGTGCTGTGCTCAGATCAAGTATGCCTGATAACAAATCTTGTTTCAAATACTTTATTAATCTTCAGTGAATCTCCACCACCCCCTCCAAAACAACAACAACAAAACCAGTCAGCAAACCGAGTCACCCCATGACCACCAAGTAACTGTGACCTCATTACCCCTTCTTACCTTCTTCAGGGGCAGCGGAAGCTCCTTCAGGCAGTATAGGCTGTAACTCCCCAGTTTCAGAACTGTTTTCCAGATCAGTCATCTGCATTCCTTCTAGGCGACCTCCTTTAGCATTAGCCCTGAAAGAGAAAACGTGATTTCTCTATAACTAGTATATGATACAACTATCTACATTTTCGCCAAATACTGAGCACCTAATTAAGCAGGATAGATGAAACTGGTGTTTAAAATACTACTTTACAAATTTTACTTAAAAAACAAAACAAAAACTCACTAGAAAATTCATGATGGAAAAAAATTATGAAACAGTGGGTTCTATCAAAGACGATATATATCCTGAGTTTCTACCTAAGGGCAGTTAGAACTATCTCCAAAACGAACACAAAATAGAAAAACGCTGCAGTCTCACCTTGAAAGGACCATACACAGGGAGGACTCAACACTGTGGAAAATGGAATTAGAACATGGAATTTCCCCCATCAGTTTTCTGAAGTTCTCTTGTATAATCATGCTTGGTAATAGGAAAGGCAAGACAATCTCTAGTGATTTTAACCTATTGACGGCTTAAACTTCAGTTAAAACACAAAACTAACCACCTGCCCTTTGACAACTGTCCAAGAAAAACAAAACAAACTCACTGCCATCAAATCAATGCTGACATATAGTGACCCCTCCCCACCCCCACACCACCCCTTGGGTTTCTGAGGCTAGAAGGGTTTACGAAGGTCGAAATCTCAGTCTTTCTCCCAAGAAGCTGCTGGTGGTTTCAAATTGCTGAACATGTGGCTCGCAGCCCAACTCAGATCATATGTAGCCCAGCCCACAACCATCAGAACTCCTGGGAGAATTATTGAAACCTTTAAAAACTGTGTAACATTAAATGAACCTAAGGAATGTTAAGGAGCTCTGGTGGCACTGTCCGCTGCCAACCAAACATTTGGTCATTCAAACAAGCTGCTTCTGCAAAGAAAGGTGACTGCAGTCTCAGAAAGCAAACGGAGCAGGGCTCCTGTCAGAAGAATCAACTCCATGGCAGGGAGCTCACGAGAGGAGTGGTAAGAGGAGAAAAAAGGGGAAGAACTTTGTTCTAACCAAAATAAAAATAAAGACCTGTGAAATAGAGTAGCCCAGCACATGTCTTTTTAAAAAAGACGTGGGACAGGTGGAAATGAAATAAAGGTCCCCACTTCAAAGATATCTCAAAAGACAGCATTTATACAGGTCATACACCACTGTTTACTAACTTCGTAAAAAATGAGCAATGTATTTATTAACCTGAGCATTTGGTACTCACTCATATTCTGTCCATTAAAATAACTAGTGGAAACGGTAAGGTTAATTTTGTTTATTCTGATGTAGACTAAAGGACCAAATAAAGTGATTACCCAAAGATGACCATTTTCCTCCTTTTCTCAACAGTAGGTAAGCCGTTGAAAACTGCAACCACAACAGCATTGGAATCCAAAGCTTTGCACTGCCGGTCTTCAGGTTTGGGCAGAATATCACCAATGCTGCCATGCATCAAGGCCCGGGGAGAACTGTGCCTGCTCCCAGATTGTGAGCTTCCTGGGGACCCTTTGGAAAAGAACATTCGGAAAAGAGATAGGGAGAAAACTCACAAAAGTTCTGAAGGGAAACCAGTTTCAACATATATATACTGTAGAAAACTTCAAAAATAATTTTCATATATAGATACTCAGACTTTCTGATGGATTGCTCAAAATCAAGGGTTCAGAATACCCAGGCTAATGATGGAATTTTTCTTACTGAAGGATCTGCTATATTGCGGCTCAAGGAACTCTCCGGTGAAATGTTTTAAAACATTTTAGTTGCCGTTCACAGTGAGATGAGACAACAAACCAATTTCTAGGTAGACATTCACTCAAAATTGCATCCTAAGCTTCCTGAATTTACCTTCAGACAAAGCTTGACAGTCTCCCTTTGAGCGACTATTTTCCCCAGAGTCCACTGCTCTTCGAAGTGATAGGCTACCTGCTATACTGGACCGAGATGGCTTGGGTGAATTACTCTTCTTACTTGTGGCTGCAAAGACATTTAAGATCGTTTGTACATCTAGTGAAAGATCATGACGCTCACTGCCTAAGTAGCCAGAGGCTTACTTTTAACATGCATGGAGAGTGTTCTGTCTGCTATGTCCAAAATCAAATCTCAATTTATTTTTGTTTTATGCCAAAAAAGCATTTTTATTTTGTTTAGCAGGAAGTCTTAACATAAAAAAATTGAAGCTGCCATAAGAAAAATCATACCAAATGTTCACTGATGTTAGTGCAATTAAATTTCATATTAACAACAAAATTTGAAGCAAAAATAAGACCACTTGGGAATTAAAAAATATTACAGGATTAGCAATCAAATTAGAGGTGAATTAGAAAAAGAATTAAAATAGCACTTCAATTAAAATATTTGTAGCCAAGGCAGTACTTAAGGGGGAAATGTATAGACTTATAAAAAAAAAATGCATGTAAGGAAGGGATGATTGAACCAGGGTGCAGTATAACACTGACGAAACACATCATTCTTCTAGTTCCTGAATGCTTCCCTCCGACTACCATGACCCAGTTCTACCTTACACATCTGGCTAGACCAGAGAACACACATTGATACAAATAAAGAGCTCTCGACACATGGAATTCAGGAATAGTAGGAGTAGCAATATCATGAGGGTAGGAGGGTAATGGGGGAAGAGAGGAAGGATCCATCACAAAGTTGGATATATAGCCCACCCCCCAGGAGAACGAATAACAGAAATGTGGGTGAAGGGAGACAAAGAACAGTGTAAGACATGAAGTAACAACAATAATATATAATTGATCAAGGATTCACAAAGGTGGGAGGGAGGGGGAAAAAGAGGAGCTGATACCAAGGGCTCAAATAGAGAATATTTTGGAAATGTTGAAGGCAACATATGTACAAGTGTGCTTAATACAACTAAATGATGGATTGTCATAAGATTTCTAAGACTTCTCCCCAATAAAATGATAAAAAAACAAAGAGGAAAGAAAAATCTTTCCATCAAATGCTTGGGAGGATTATGAAAATAGTCACACAGGTATCTAAAGTGTTCTTTGACACAGATGGGAAGCTCAGTTAAGAAAGTTTAACACACACACACAAAAGAAAGTTTAACACTATGAGCAAGTTGTTTTTAAACTGTTTAACACAAGCTATGGTAATGGGCTTGCTACTGTTCTGATAACTACCACTGTCACCCATTTTCGGTCTCATTTAGACACAAGAATCAATGTATTCTTTCTAAAGGGTAAATCTTTTCATAAACACTCATTGATTTCTATTCTTGAGGGACTTCTGAAATCAGGAAAAAAGTCAAATTCCTAATCATGGTCTTACAAGGACTTCCTGATCCACATGCAATCTACCTCTCTGACTTCATTTCCTCTTCCCCTAACTTGTTCAGCACACTCAGCCATATTGGGTTTCCTTTGATCCTTCAAATGTGCAAAGCAAATCCTGCCACAATGACTTGCATTGCATTCCGTTGTACTGTATGAACCAGATTGGTGATTCCCTAGAACTCTACATGGCTGACACCCTCGTGACCTTCAGAGATCTCCCCAGACACCTCCATTTACTATTGTTGTTCGAGCTGATTCTGACTCACAGCTAGCTCATGTACAACAGAGCAAAACACTGCCTGGTCCTCCATCATCCTCACGTATTGTTCTTATGTTCGAGCCCATTGTTCCAGCAACTGTGTCAATCCATCTCAGAGAAGGCCTTATTCTTTTTTAATGCCGCTCAGCTTGACCAAGTATGATGTCCTTCTCCAGAGACTGTTCTCTCCTGAGACTATGTCCAAAGTAGCTGAAAAAGAGTCCTGCCATCCTTGCTTCAAAGGTGCCTTCTGGCTATGTATCTTCCAAGACAGATGTTTGGCTAGCCTAGCTAAAATAGCACATGTCCCACCTGCTCCTCTTGTCCCACTCCCGCTCTTTCCTTCACAGCAATATTACCCTCTAAAATTCTCTTTTCGTGTTTCGATGTTCTCATGTCTGATTTCACTACTGGAATGTAAGATTCATTAGGTTAAAGGTTTTGTCTTGTTTACTGCACAGCACAAAGTAAGCAGTCAAGAAATGCTATTAGTTCTTTATAGTAGAAAACATGCAAAATCTGTTTTAGGTGGGAAAAAAAGAGTTGCATGTATTTCTACTCTTGATTCACTGGAAGAGAGGTATTTAAATATTTAAATAAGATTAACTCCCCAAATAATTAATGACCAGCTTCCCCAATGGCAGCTGGTGAAATACGGCTAATAGGGAGTTTTCACTTACAGTTCCGTATGCAACAACTGGACACTGATGACTTTGCCAGGAGCTCCATTCCCAAATCCTGCAACCTGCCAGCGTTTTCTGTTTCACATGCAGCAAGAGCTGCCTGGTCAGCGGAAAAAAGGTTTGTCTGCATGTCTCCACAAGCAGCGTTGCAGCTTTTGATTTCCGACAGTGTGTTCTTCATATCTGTTTTCATACATCGAACTTCAGCCATCTGAGTTTTGAGTCTTTTTAGCATCTTTAAGTCACAGGGAACTCGCCACATGGCCTGCTGCTTCCTTTGATCTTTATCTTTTCGAGAATATGACGCTTCAGAGAGAAAGTTGACAAGCTATGTTAATGGTGTTAATGTACACTGTGACATTAATGATACCAGAACCCATGCAAATTATGGTGTCAACATTCCATCCCATTAATGACAATCAAGATGTACAGGTCTCCACATTTTCACATGTCCTGTTCCCTTTGTTCTCTCTGCCAACCCAAACTCGTCTTCGAGTCCCCTACTCATCTGAAGAAGCCAGCTGGCCCTCCCAAGTCAATCCTCTAAATTTGTGTAGGGCACAGAGTACACATTTATCACAACACACTATCATAGAGAACAGACAGGCAGATTATGAGAAACAAAAAGGGCTATAAGCTCATAGTGACATTAGTATTCTAGGTTGAACACAGTCTATCATACAAAATGCTCAAAATGTTTGCTAAATAACACTTTTTGGGCCTACTCTACATCTACATGGGCTTAACCAAAAATCTGTATTAATCCATATGGTTCAGTTTTATCATTAGAAAAAGACACTAATTTCTTTTCAATCAAAATCCAAAATGCGGACATGCTAAGTGAAATTCCTTGATCCGATGTCCATAAGACATTTACTGAGTCCCTTTCTAAATGCTGGGCATTGGAGACACAAAGGTGAGCAGGTTTGTTCCCACAAAGCTCACAATCCATTTGGGAGAAAATAAAAACAAATCAATTCCAGTAGCCTGTGCTAAGTTCTAAGACAAGTAAGGAGTGATGGCGCTCACACCAGCACAGCTCTACGGTTTAATGACCTGCACTGAAGGCCTTCATGAGAGGCTTTCCTCGTTACGAAGTTATAAGGTGAATGGAAAGTCCAAGTTCCACCTGTAATACTTCCCTCACATCATTTAGTGATGCTCGTCAGGAATGACAGTTCTCTGTAGCTCATCTAATTGATATTACTCGTTTTATGGAACTCTTTTTAGAGCCCTACTGATATTTAGGGTTACATGTTGAGTTGCTAACTGCAAGGTTTGAATCAACCAGGCATTCCAAAGGAGAAAGATGCGGCTGTCTGCTCCCATGAGGATTTACAGCCTCAGAAATCCACGCACGCCAGAAGCTATCGCTGTCCTTTACAGTCGCTGTGCATCGCAACGCAGTGGCAATTGATGTTCTTGGTTGGTATGCACTCACTCTATTTGGTTTGCATTCTTTATCCAATGACAAAACTATTTCATCAAAACATTTTATCCATCTTTAAGTAATTCTATCACAAAACTGTAACTTAAGCCACAACTTTATTGTATATTTTCAAACATCTCTGAATCATAATCAGAAATTTAAATTACCGATTTAAAGTACAGAAGTAAAATTGCTTGTTATAAAGGGTAACCAAAACCTGACCTAACTATTGCTGTCAATTTCTACTTAGAGCGACCCTCCAGGGGAGAACTGGCCCACAGGATTTCCACAGGAATTTAAAGCTGTACTTTAATATTTTCTGCTCTTTATAATTGAGGGTTTTCTAGGTTTTGTCTGGTCACTATTGTTTTTGTTACCTGTTTGTGTTTTGTAATGGTTTTATGTAAATGAAATCTAGGATAGGTAAATCATGAGACAGTAACCAAATTAATAATTACTTAGGAGCATGGCAGAGGAAGATGGGAGGAAATGGGTGACTAAGAACAAAGAAGACAAGAAGAAAATGTTCTGAAATTGACTGTGGTGATGACTGCATTAATTAATAATATCACAAATGATTAAATTGTATATGTGAAGTACAGCCAATAGAACTATTTCTTATAAATTGCCCTTTATGACCCAGTCAGGATGCAGTATAGCACCGACGAAACACACAACATTCCTCTAGTTCTTTAATGCTTCAATACCACCACTATCATGATCCCAGTTCTACCTTATAAATCAGCTAGAGCACAGCATGTACACTGGTACAGGTAAGAGCTCTAGATGCACGGAATCCAGGACAATAATGGGAGGAGCGATACCATGAAGATACAGGGAAGGTGCTTCTCCCCCCACCCACCCATCGCCCAAAGTGATGAACAACCGAAACATGGGTGAAGAGAGACAGGACAGTGTAAGATATGAAAATAATAATTACTAATTTATCAAGGGTTCATAAAGGTGGGAGGGTGGGGGAAGGAGAAAAAAAAATGAGGAACTGATACCAAGAACTTGAGTAGAAAGAGTATTTTGAAAAGGATGAAGGCAACATATGTACAAATGTCCTTGACACAATGGATGTATGGATTGTCCTAAGAGCTGTTAAGAGCCCCCCAAAATGATTTATTTATAAAAATAAATAAAAATTGACCTTCAAAAAGGGCATACCACTTCACAAGGCTACCTGCAGAAGCTGAACCTGTGTTTCCTATGGCTTAGGCCAACAACTCTGGTTATGATGTTTAATGTGGTATGAAGGAGCGTTTCTTTGTAGAACATTAGAACTATGGGTCATTTTTATTTTACTTTTCACAATATGCTATATTTCCCAAAATTTCTACAATAAAGATGCATCAAAAAATACAAAATTATATATAGCGTACTAAGTCCTACAAAAGTCCAAGGATTTACAAACTTGACATGGACCATCATCAGTAGGATGCAAGAATCTCATACTCATAAGCTAGTTGGAGGCAATCTCTCAAGCTGAGAAGCCCCAGCTTCCAGGAATTACACCTTAGGAAGCACGAGACTGAACAGTTTTCCCACTGGAGCAGCTCTGCGAGGAGGAACCACCCCAAAATGGAATTTTGCCCCCCAAAGCTATGTATTTAATTTTTTTACAAAACAACCTTATCACCTTCAAAGTACTCTCCCTTACATGCAAAGTATTTGTCAAATCTGTGATTCCATTCTTGGAGACATTGTTCAAACTCATGTTTGGGTGACTGACAGCACCTCCCTCGTTTTGTTCTTCACCTCTACTTTGTCCTCAAATCACTATCCTTTTATGTCCTTCTGCATTCGCAGAATCACCCGGAGGGAGGCCAGGTGAGTACTATGCATGAGGCAAGAGAGGCCTATTGTTTTTTGCCAAAAACTGGCTCACTGAGATGGCTGCGTGAGCAGGTGCATTGTCGTGGTGGCAAAACCAGTCCCCCGTCTGCCACAAACCAGGTTTTTTTTGGTCACACACTGTTACACAATCTTTTAAGAACTTCTAAATAGATTAACAGTCTGACCTGGTGGAACAAACTCCAAATGCACTATGAGTCGACAGTTTCATACTTTTGGGAAATTGATGGGCATCCAGAGCACGGTTGACAGTTCACCTTTTGTGAAATGAGAAAACCACTCATACACTTGAGTCTTTCCCATAGTACTGTCCTTGTAAGTTGTAAGCTGTGTTCAACATCATAACAGCTTCTATGGCATTTTTCCCAGAGCAGGAAACAAAATTTTGCAATTACATACTATTCTCTTAAATCAGCCAGCACAAAAAATGAGGTTTGAGCTAAACTGCTTTCACACACACAAAAAATAAATCACTGTGACCTGAGAGAACCTTCCCAGGCAATGCCACTGGGTGCACTAACTGAGAGTGACTTGCTTGATGCTCGCCCAGTGGGAAAAATGTGTTCTATGATAGTTCTGCCCAGCAGAGCCTTTTTCCGTTTGTTTGTTTGTGGGTACCCCCTATGTCCCTTTACTGTAGTTGGTTTAGACTTAATTTGAAAAATGAGTTTTGCACAGGGAATCCGGGACAGATAAACCCAGCAGGACTAATAATGAGAGTAGCAATACCAAGAGGGGAAGGGGACAGTGGGGTAGAAAGGGGGAACCAATCACAAGGATCTACATACAACCCCTTCCCTTGGGGATGGACAACAGAAAAATGGGTGAAGGGAGATGTCGGAGAGTATAAGACATGACAATATAATAATAATTTATAAATTATCAAGGGTTTGTAAGGGAGGGGGGTGGGGAGGAAGGGGTAAAAATGAGGAGCTGATACCAAGGATTCAAGTAAAAAGCAAATGTTTTGAGAATGATGATGACAACAAATGTACAAATGTGCTTGACACAATGGATGGATGTATGGATTGTGATAAGATTTGTACGAGCCCCCAATAAAATGATTTAAAAAGAAAAATGAGTTTTATTGTCTTCAAATATCTTCAATCATTTTTCTAAACCACTGATTAAGTGTGTATAATTCTGATTAAGAAGGTAGGAAAATGTTCAGTATATTTTTACACATTTTCCAACAAAAATGGATTGAAAAATGCATCTTTTAAAGATGAGTCCTAATAGCTATCCAAAATGGTTCTATCTCTGAGAGTTCCAAAGCTCAAGTTCAACAACACAAACTGTCACATCAGAAGTAACACAAATTAATTCCCCTGTAACAAATAAACTTACATAAAGCACTGCTGCCAATTAGTACACAGTTCTCCAAGGTCTCTCGCTCACTGCCATCAAAGTCGATTTCAACACATTATATATATATGTGTGTGTGTGTGTGTGTGTGTACATGTGTACACACACACACACACACTTTTAGGATACTGTACATTTAAATTCAACTTAGACACAGTTCCCCTAGGATGTGTCTAAATTTCCCCCACCAATCATGAGGCCTACAAAACCCTATTCTGAGCCTATTGAAAGGCCAGTGTACGCCATATGAATCTGTAAGCAAATCATAAGAAAAAATGTCTATCAAATATTTTTACTTTCTCTTGTATTAAAGATCTGATTAATAATAAAAATATTGCTTAATATGTCATTTCCATGACATTCATGTTAGTAGAAAGTAAAAAGTCAATTTGCTACAGAAATATACCATATTTCAATACTAAAATGTAACACTGGATTAAAATTCAATAGCTCTTTTAGAGAAGCAGTAAAAAAGGGAGAAGTATGATTACCTGTGGGTGGCAAAAGAGAAGCAGGTGGGCGAGGCTGTAAGCCCCACAAATTTTCCATACTGCTCCGGTCCTTCAGGTCCAACAAATGTATTAAAATTAAGGGATCAATGTCTAATAAACTACTGGTAGCAGCAGAGCATAAATGAGCTGTTCTTGACATTCTGCTACTGGCACCCACATAACCATGGCTACTACCTGCAAGAGAAAGAGAAATGTGTACCATGCATTTGCACTATTTCTGTATACTTAAGAGAAAAAAAAAGAGAAATTGGTTTAAGGTTGTCAGTTTCAGGCTGATCTTGGTAATAGACAAATATGAACAGATGGCTATACCACCTATCAGACCGAGGACAAAATCCCTGGTGCCTAATTCAATGCCTAGCAAATACTAGGTAAAGAAATGTTAAAGTTGAGCTCTTTCAATAAAGGTACTTAAAATTATTTTAAAGAAACAGTATTGCAGGCCTGTCTGGATAGGACAGGCTGGATGAACAATCTGGAGGAGAAAACAACGGGACTGACAGTTCCGGGGGGCCATGGGAGAGGGGGA